AATTAAAAAAAATTGTTCAAAATCATAATTTTTAGTGCGTCTAGTTATTTTTTATATATTAATATTAAAAATAATTTATAAATTTAAAAAAATATTATATTTATATATTTTTAAATAAAAATATATTTTAAAAAATAATCATTACTATCCTTTTAAAAATACACACGCGAGGCTTGTGGACCATGGCAACGTTATATTTAGGAAATAGGAAAACGGTGAGGTTTTGGAGCCAATGTAAAGTGTAAAATCTCATTTCAACGATGCGCTGGTTTGGAAGAAGGCATAGAAAAACACTATTCAAAAGGCAAGCCTGTTCACTTTTAGAAATCACAACATTGATCTTTATGAAAAATATCACCATTACAATACTAATTGCACGGAGGAACGTGCATTCCACGCGCCGCACATGCCCCGAATAACATTTGCCAAGGAACCGCCTCAAAATGTTGTTTGTAATCGAAGGATAGAGATTAGAGAGTTCACATGAACTGCTGTTTGAGTTGTACGGAGGAAAATGTAGTTAAAAGACAAAAAGGAGGGAAAGTCAACCGTTAAAATATGCTACAGTTTCAGTGTTGAATCCAAGTATGGTAGTTTCAGTGTATGTGAATCATGGACCGTAGAACTTGGGGTGTTATTTATAAAAAGGTTTCCAAGGTTTAGAAACCAGAAATTATTACACAAGTCAGCTCGTCATTGATCTGCTCATATAAATTATATAAAATCCCTCTTAAAAAATGATTATAGGATACACTACTCTGTGAGTGTAAATTGATGGTGAGTCTAATCATAGTTTTAAATAAGGTTTGTTATGTAATCTAACGGTCATTATATAATTTAATGTTCATGGATCATTAAAAATAATTTTACTGCTTCAACCTACAACAAATCAAGGTATTTACACCGTATTTTTTTCACATGTTTTAGGTTTTCTCCTTAATTATATCCATTGATTGCTAATTTGGTATAATAGAGTTAACAAAAAAAAAAAAAAGAGTTTCAGATTTATAAAATTTTGCTGCACAACTCTCAATCTACTACAGGTGCGCGAACCTCGGATCGTTGGATTGTGGATCAAAGCAAGGTACATGAGTTACATGCAAGTGCTACAAACATCCTATAAGTTGATTCTTGCAAAGCTATTCCCTTTGTTTATTTGTGCTTCAACATTAAGTACTGTGAAAAAACCATTACAGAGTTTCCCTGTCATTGGTTTTTCAAGTGATCTTATTTACTGTGCTTCAAAACATATCCCCCGGAAGAACTCAGGAACTGAATTAATTCTTGACATGAAATTATTGTTATAGGAGAATGGCATTTTCATCTTTTATCTGACAAGGTGGGATTTTCTCTGATATCCGGACCTGCAAGTAGCTTCATTTATGAGTCTTTGTGGTAGAAAGAACTGACTCACGTACAGCTAGTAAGTGCAATAATGTAGTTGAAATATAAACGCACCAATAGTTTGATTGCTCTCCAATATCAAAGTCTGCCAATGAAAGTGACTGACTACAACTCTAACTTTGATTATTTTGAGAAAATCATCTGTAATTGACTGATAATTAAGTTTTGAGATTGTATTTTTTATTTTTGTATATATTCTTTTATATGTGTGTTCTAATTTTATTAGAGTTTTAATTGACAAAGATGAGACTTGAACATGAAACGTTATTTTTCTTGCGTATGTGAGAGTATCGGTGAGTTACAAGCTCATTGATTATATATTGAAACCGGTTGGTAGTCGATCAATGCCAATTTGCGGATGACTAGGTTTCTGTGCATTACCAAACACAGTTTAAAAGTATATTAACTTTTGAAAATTATAAAAATCGATTTAGAAATTTATTAGGATAAATCATGAGATTTCTTGAAGCAATTCAAGAGATTGATTAATTTATTATGTAGTAATATATTAGATTTATTTTCCTTTCTGTATGCATCGCCTTGATCATTTATAATCTCTTCAATTTGAATCAACATCAGTTTAATATATATACATGGCTCTTGATTTGTGGCTTTTTTATGATAGTAGAGTAGACCACCATGGCTGAAACATGTTAATTTCTTATCATTTCTTGAATTTCTCCTACTCAGATTTCAGAAAATATACTTAAAGCAATGGACAAGGATTGCTCTGTACATTTTTTTTCTTTCAGGAACCTGATGTGCAGGTGATATCCCTCCTACTAAGAATGCGTATCGTTGAAAGAGTAAAAGCTGGGGCCAGCAATAGAGAGTGAGTGGTTCATAATAGATGTCGTACCTACCTCATAGAGTAACAGATGCAAATTCTAGCTAGTGTTGGTGGCATCAATTAGTGATGGCAGCTAATCAAGGCCTAAAAGGGATAGCTTATGGATAAGAAAATTCCATGGAGGAAACCCATAAATGGCTTCTTTTCTTGGTAAAGAGCTTGGAAATATTCTTTATAATTAGCTAGGCCCATCTCTAGCATTGATCACCATATGCTGTTACACTAACTTCTGCTTCTGCAACTACTATCAATCATTGGCTCTAGAGAAACATATCTGTAATTTTGTAAATTACATTTGTCATCAATTAATCGGTCCATATTGTTTATGTTCATATAGTATCATGTTGTACTAGTAGAGCAATGTCGGGCACTGAAACTGGAAATCTGCAGGAAAGTGTCCAATGGAAATTCATCCCCCCTCCCCATGCTATCTGCTCGGGATGAATTAAGTCCATTAGACATGCACTAATCATCTACTCTACAATGTAACTGGTCAAGATTTCTGAAAATATAGGAAACAAGTTGTGGTAGTGTGATTTTCTTGAAAGAGTCTCCTGCTGATAGACAAAGTTTATACTATTAGCCTGCTGGAGAAATAAGTTTCTTTATTGATCAAGAAGCTCCGGAATAATCAAGGTTATTCATTTTTGTTTTTCCTGATATATGGAATTGGACGGCATTGTTCTTCAAGTTCGACCAATGCAAAGGGCAAGAGCCCACGCATACATACAGCCATCTACCAAAATCTTTACACCATGGCAGGTTGAAACAAATAAAGAGAACAACTCAACTACTAAGAAAATGGGCTAATTATTAATTTTGGATCAATAAACTATTAAGTCTCAATCTCACACTAGTTAGGGTCGTGTATATTCATATCTAAGGCTTCAGTCTCTAGAACAATTGAAATGAAGGTCAATAGAAATGGAAAAAAGTTCAATATTACCAAAAAAAAAGGGGGGGGGGGGGGGGGGAGGTTACCTTACTCTAAAAAAAAAAAACCTAAAATGAATGCAAATGAAACAAGATCACCTGAAGCCATAGCCATTGATGGTGGATTAATGTTTCAACTAGTTCATGGGTCATCGTCAGCTTATAATCCTAATGATTTATTGGAATAATAATCATATAATTACAATTATTATCTTGCAATAATAAAAAGTACATAATGTTTGATAAGACCAACATAAAAACATATGACCATCATTAAGATCATTGAAATTATGTAGTAAATGACTTGAAAAGGAACCGATTATTTAATTAACTAATTAGAATAAAACCAAGAAGAAACTAAGTTGATTTGACACCAAATTCTAAGTTACCAAATCACCAGAAGCTCTGTGACTCCAAGACCAATAAAAAACAGCAACCATGTGACAGCATTCTGTCTAGCACCATCGTAAAGCCCCCATCGATAATAAGGATTAGTTTCATACACACTCTCGGGCACAGTACTGGTCACATAATAGAACCTTGGAGGTGGTGGTGCAAGAGGTGTACAATATGGAGTTGGTGGTGGTGGGGGCGGAGGAGGAGGAGGAGGAGGCAGCTGGCCACATGGGTTGACACAGGGGCATGATCCACACTTTATTCCTGCATCGGGTTCTTGTGGCACTAACGTTTGGTCTAGCTTTTTTGTAACGCTAGCTCTACTTATCGGAATAATTGTGCATAGCAAGAAGGAAAGAAGCAAGAAGAGAAGTAGATGAGGACCCATTTGATGAATGGACGACGATATTTTCATATCGAGAGCTAGGGAGCGAGAGAGATGATTTGTAGTTTTGAAGAGGAGTAGAGGGTTATGATATTAGCAAGGGAGAGTGTTTGCACGTAGAAAGGCACAACGCACATATGGGTTACGTTATTTTTAGAACAGAAAATGGTGAGAGAGAGAGAGAGAGAGATGAAGAGATCGTTTCAATATGTTGTAATGTTTTGAAAGCGAAATGCATGTGGAGGTCGTAATTGCGAGGGACCATTTGCGTCAAAATGTTCTTATTAATTTAGGGTTAATTAGTCAACAATAAATCATGTTTAATTAATCTTTATCGAATATAAATTGAATAAAAAATTATTTTTGTATAAATTAGTTTAGTGTAAGTCATCTATGTTATTTTCTGTCTTTTTCTTTGTTTTTATTCATTTCACTGGAATTTGGATTTCATCATAAAAGTATTTTTAATTTTTTTTTTTTTTTTAATTTTGGAAGGGATGGAAAGGGCTACTGCAATTGAAATTTGGTAGCAAATGATAAAATAATAAAATCATCAACGTGCATCAGTAAAACCTATATACTGTAATGATTAGCAACCTGCCTTTTCTTTCAAGAAGATTAAAAGCTAAAGTGCTAATTAATTAATTAATTAATTATATTTACCTTATAAAAAAGAATAAAAATAGTGCAAGGCTGGCATTATTCTCGTATTAAAAAAACCTAATCCATTACAAAGTTCATAGAAATTTATTTATTGCCTACTGCTTTATTCCTTTGTCTACTGTTTAGATGACATAGACAACAATTAAATCTGTGGAATCATTTTTAATTTAATACTTTAAATTATAATTTAAATGACTCAAGCTTACTAATCAAGCTCACTTTGCAAATACTGCTAGGCTGGAATTATTCTTCTATTCCTTTCCCGCTTTTGCTAGCTAGAAAAACACAAAGTAAGCCCTCCAAGGCTTCATGCATATAATTGGCATCGTATTGCAATTTCATTGGCACCAAGTTATTAAGTATTTCGACTGCTTTCGTACGTTCGTGGGTATAATATTTGAGGTTGTAGGAATTAATTCTCTGTTCAACAAAATCTCGAATTTTGAAACAATTTTAGATAATAAAGATAGATAATATATAGTTTGGATATGTAAAAAAAACAAACGAACGAAAAAAGTCAAGTTAATGTTAAAGAACACTGATAAAGAGAAGTTGCTTGGAAAATCTGAGCATTTGACAAAGTTATTTTATGCATTTATATATATACAAAAGAGACCTCCATTAATTTATTAACGTGTACATTATCACCTTCCAACCATCTAGCCTATTATCTGATAAATCTAATTGACACAATATCATTTTAATATTTAAAAAATAGAAATAAAATAACTCTATGTTTTTTTTTTAAATTATACAGTTAATCTGGATATCATCCAAGTCTTAAATGGATCAACTTCCAACCCAAGTTGAATCGCATATTAACCTACCTGAAAGGCTTGATTTTAATATATAATAATGCTTCCAACCAACCATTGGAAGGGAAAAGAAAGAAGCTCGATCATCATCAATGTACTGAAGGGACTTTGCCTCATATATTCCATTATGAGCTAAAACGTGGTGAGTAAAATCTGATGATCATGTTGATCTGAGAGCCATCACAACTTTCCCATGGAAGAAGCATTTTGGAGTGGGTTTGAAGATGCTTGAAAGGGAATCGTATGCCATGGAAAGATCAGATCGATCAAGAAAGCAAACTCTTAGATTGTCCCATTTCTTTTAACAAATAAACACTTTTATTGATTGAAGTAATTCAATGTCAATTATGTATGAATCATCTTATTAATGTTTTGATTGACTTAATAATTATTTATATAATTTGTAAAAGATTATTATTTACTTTTTTATTTTTTTCTCATGCAACCTAGGCAATTGCCACTTATTTATTATTTTTATTATTATTATTTTGGAGAATCACACTTATTTACTTAGTGGTTAGAAGGAAGAGAGGAATGAAAACGGACCTTTGAGGGAAAGAAATATAGTAATGGCAGAAGATAGGAATACGGTGCTGATTTGATGAGTGATCGAGAAGCATTACCACAAATTATCAGCATTTTATCTTTAGTTTCATCCTTTACTTTTCTCTTTTATTAAACAATCTAGCACCGTAATTTGCTGAATAAACACCAACATAAACATTATGTCGGTATATATTGAGTGAGCTGTAATGAAAATTGAAGAAATAACAAAAAGTAGAAAAGACTTTACTGATAGAATTAACTCGAGAATAAAATTTGTTTGTAGATATACTGACAATATATATCAATAGAATAATTATGGATAATATTATAGTAAAATTTAAAAAGACAAGTCATAATACTTTTTACTACTATAATCACTAATGGAATGAACCGAAAAAATATTATGTAAATAAATTCAGTAATATTTAATTTATAATATATCTACCAATCCTCCTCTCCCCTCCCCCATTTGTACCTTGCTCTTTATACATTTTTTTTCTGCAACAAATAGTAGAAACAACCGCCTCCATTCCCCTTGGTCTTCATGCAACTCAACCTTTTTATAACAAATTCAGTAATTATAACACTTGGTATTTATTAGCATTCATATTTTAATTAAAATTTTATATAACAATATATATTGATATATTAAAAAAAAATTAAAAAAATATTGTAATTATCATTATTATTATTAACTCTCTAAAAAAATTACAGATAATATTTTATTAATGATATGTTATATTTATTGACTGATATATCAACAAATAAATAAAAATATTAATGAAATTGCATATAATATTTGTGTCAGTTATATAGCAAACTTTCTAATGGAATTATTGAAAGAATAAAGCAAATAATTTTTTTTACATGCTTTGGTTTTTTGTAAATTCATCGGTAAATTTATTACTAATAAATTTATTGACAAACTAAAAATTACTAATAAGAATTTTTCTAATAGATTGGTTTTATTTACGAGCCTATCGATAAAATATATATATCAATGAATTATGAATGTAAATACTAATAGAAATCTCTGTCCATACAAATATAAAAGCTGATAGTATGGCTTTGAATTAATGAAATGAAATAGATTTTGTGAAATCAATTTAAAAGCAACACTTAAACATGAGATTTTACGAATAAAAAGAAAAAAGAGAGTAGAGAGATGTATCACGTCCAACTATCTGGCTTTTACTTATATGACTCTTTTTTCATTAGATAGAAATATGTTTTTCTTTTAATTTTAACACGTGTGTACATAACTATATGATTTTAAATATGTATTTTTTACATCATCCAAACACTTTTAATTAATAAGTTATATTTGATATTGGCTCTAATATTTTTATTTAAAAAATAAAAAAAACATATTTTTCTAATCATAAATTAATTTCTTAATTTTTTAATTCAACTAAAAATTGAGTTTAAGGCAACATTGAATGCAATGCAAGTACATTGTGACACGTTTATGTAGTAAATATATTTGATGGTGTTAAAATTATAAATCAGAATTAAATAAATAATAAAAATTTAAAAGTGATGGAGTCAATATTTCACGAGGAAAAAATATTATATTGGTGATAAAAAACTTAGAGACTAAATAGAATGAGTTCTAGCAATTTATAGTATTTTATAAAAAAAATATAATGTTTTCTTTATAAAACAAAATCTTAAAAAGACGAAATAATCATATAAGAAATAATAAAAAAAAATCAAACCATATAGGGAAGCACTATAACAATCCATAATATTTTGTGAGAAAAGTTATCGTTGTAATTCTCAACCAGCTCAATATTAACATATAGGGAAACACTATAATAATCTATAATATTTTGTGGTGAAAGCTACGGTTGTAATTCTTAATCACCTCAATATAAAAATAAAATAAAATTGATAAGGACAATTTAAAAAAAATCATAAAAAAACCACGTGTGAAAACATTGTAGCAATCCACATTGTTTTAAAGAAAAAAACTGCAAAGCTAAGTTCTCAACAAACTCAATATTAAAAAAATAAAATCGACAAGGATATTTTAAAAAAAAATCAAAAAAATCAAAACAAAAAAAATTGTGTAGGG